GTTCCTCACAGCTGTTCCATGGTCTTCATGGTCCTTCCATGGTCTTGGCACTTGTTCCTTGATCCTTGCAGTCGTTCCATGGTCCTGGCAGTCGTTCTGTGCTCCTCCCCTGCTGTGGCAGTGACTTTGCACTGAGACTTCACCCCTTTTCTGCTCCTCTCTCTCATCATCCCAAGAAGGTTCCAACTCCAAACAGTGGCTCAGTGGCCACAGCACATCTGGAAAAATGGCTTTGTGTGGAAAATCCCCCCCTTTAGCCTTTCCCCTTTCCCTTTTCCCCTTTCCCCTTCCCTTCCCTTCCCTTCCCTTCCCGACCTGTATCCTGTTAATTTGCATGTAATTCCCATGCATTGTATCACATCCCTGCTATTCCCATGGGAAGCTCCAAGCTCCTCCCCTTTCTCTGGACCTGCTGTGGCTTTCCCAAGAAAAGGCATTTTGCTCCCTCGGACACCTCCAGCTCCGAGCCCTGGGAGCCCTGAGCTCTCCAGGGCACAGCACTGATCCAAGGGCAAGTTCCAGTGTAATCCCAGTGCCTTGGATTTAGTCTGGAAGGAGCCATTGCTTCTCATTCCAGCTTGGAGCCAAGTCCTGTTCCATCCCCAGATCACCAGGAGACAGGGAAGGGGAACATCCTGCATCCCAGAGCCCAGGCTGTGCGGGCAGTGACCATTCCCAAGTATCCCACTGTTGTTCCGAGTGCCTTAAATCCATCCAGATCCCAGCAAAGGTATTTCTGTTCCCTGTGCCCTTCCTCTTACACCTCTCAGCTGCTTATCCCTGTATCCCAGTCAGTCCATCCCTGTATCCCAGTCAGTCCATCCCTGGTGTCATCCCAGAGCCCCGGCTGCAATTCCAGCTCCCAGTGGAGCCAGACAGGACTTGGTCACTGGGAGCTGCCCCAGGGACCCACGAGGATTCAGAAGGACCCCCGAGGCCCCTTCCCCTCCCTTGCTGGGCTTGCCCTGGATTCGGGATGCAGGGATAATGTGGTGTCTGTGTCCTGCCAGCAGCTCCAGATGGATCCCCAGCTCCAGCCTGGGAGTCAGATCTGTCCGAGCAGGAGAGAAACTGGGCTTAAAAGCACCAAAAAAATGGATTGTCCCTCTTTTTCTGCTTGAATAGAACTAATATTTAATACCAAATATTTTATTATTTAAGGTGTAATTTAAATTAAAACCTCCTTGGCCTGTAAATATTTTCCCCTTGTGGAATATAAATGTTCCTCTGATGAATTTTGGGGGGTTTTTTTGCAACGAGAAATGATTTTCCAGCCCAAACAGTCCCAGAGAAATCCTTGAAGAGCTTTTCCCTCTTAAAATTGTTCATCCCTTCCATCACAGCCGATGCCAAGAGCGGAGAACACCGGGAATATTGTATGGAATTGACACCGGGAATATTGTATGGAATTGACACCCTCTGGCATCGGCCTGGTTTGGGCCAGGCTTTCCCTGGTCGGGGTCGGGATTTTCCTGGTTTATGTTGGACCTTCCTTGGTTGGGGTCAGGATTCCCATGGTTGGGATCAGCCTTTCCCTGGCTGGGATCACAGGAGGCACAGGGAAGGACTCCTGGCGTTGGAGCTGGGTGGGTGCTGCCGGATTCCGGAGCATCCGGGTGCTGCACGTGGATTTATGGCCGATTCCTGAACAAGACCTGACCCCCCCCACCACTCTGTAGCCATTTTCCCAGCATCCATGGGAATGACAACCTTTCCCAGGGGTTTCCCATTTGGCTGAGTCCAACGGGACTCCAGGGTTGGACCGTGAGATGGACAGGGAGAGACCTTGGGATTAAAAGCATCCTTGGGATTCCAGGGAGGAAAATGGTTTCTTTCTCCAGCAGGAGCATCCCAGGGGTGAGGGATCTGTGGGAAGAGGGTTGGGATACTGCTGGGACACTGCTGGGACAGGTAGGACATGGCAGGGGTGAGGGATCCATGGGAAGAGGGCTGGGATACTGCTGGGACAGGCGGGAGCATCCCGAGGGCGAGGGGTGTTGGCTCCGAGCGTGTCCCGGCTCCTCCTTCCCTCCCTCCGCCCCCATCCCGGTTGTTGCTGTAAATAGGGACTATTTATATAAATATATTCCAGAGGTTTCTAAAATCCCCCGAATCCTGTTTTCCTCAGAGCTTTTGGCTTTGCCGAGAACTCCTCGAGCAGGAGATTTGCACCTTCCAAAGGGCGTCGGTACAAACGAGCCCAGTCCGACCCACCGCAGGTACTGGGCGGGGCCGGGAATTCCGGGGGAATTCCAGGGGGCCGAGGGCTGAGGATGGAACGACTCGTTCCCTTTTTTTACCCCCGTTCCCGTTTTCCCCGGGCTGGAGCAGCCCCAGGGTGTCCCTGGCATTGGCAGGTCATGGATTTTCCCTTTTGTTCCTTGTCTCTATCTTTGCCTCTCGTGTCCGACCCGGCGGCGGTTGGGAGGAGTTTGGGTGGAAAGGCCGAGTTTTATGGACATTTTTCTGGATCTGATGTTTTCCAAACCTTTTCTTTATCCCGCACCAAGTCCTGGCACGGGATCTGCTCCAGGCAGTCGTGGAGTGGGTGATATCCATGATATCCATGATCACCCCCCCAAATCTCCAGGGCTCTGGGGGGGGTTGTACAGGGTGAATCTGCTCCAAGGAATCCCCACAAATCCCTCCGTAGGCTCCTCACCCGGACACGGGGGGAATATTCCAGATTCGTTGCTGTTCAGGAGCTTCCGGAGTTGCGTCTCCAGGGCTTTCCGTCCCTTCCAGGGGTTTGTTGGGCTCGGGGTCAGTGGAACATTCGGCTGTTTGACTGTTAAGCACAAACCAGGGATTGACGGCCCATCCCCCGGGAAAACCCTCCGGCTGAGGGACCCGAAATTCCCGTTTGAGCTAAAAATGAACCAAAACTGGTGGGTTTTTAAATTGTTCCTGGTTTCTGGGAGAGCTGGAGGCTCTGGGAACACAGGGGTTGGTGCCTGGGAGCCGCCAGGGCCATCCAGGCAGCTCCGGAAGGAGCAGATTCCATCCGGGATGGTCCATGGCCATCCCAGGGCACCCGTGGCCGTGCTCAGTTCTTGGCCTTGGCTCATTCTGGGATGAGCCCTTGGGAATGGCCCCCTCTGCCATCCCCGTGTCCCAGCCGAGGCAGAGCTCATTCCAGGCTGTGGGATGTGAGGTGGAGCCTTTTCCGAGGACTGGAGACCCCATAAATCCAGCAATCCCAGCAGGGGAAGGCACTGCCGCCGTGGGGATGGGGATCCATGGATTTGGGAATGTTGCAGTGGTGGTACCAGGCCCAGGCCCAGGTTTTCGGCGTCGCTCCGCAGCTCCTTTTCCCGCTCTTCCCAAAATCCCGTCATGGTGTCCGGAGTTTCCCTGGAGATCTGCCCGGCGGGGCCGTCCCGAGGGAGGGTTTTCCTGGCGGGAAGAGCGAGTCGAGGGCACTCGGTGCCTTTCCTGCTGTCACCGAGGCCGCGCTCTGTAAAGCAATAAAACCACGGAGCGGCCCCGAGGGAGGGAGATCCCGGGAGCTGATCCCGAATCCCGGGAGCTGATCCCGAATCCCGG